AGGTAAACTTTATGACAGTGAATTAGTTTTAAAAGACGAATATATATAGAAGGTAAACTTTATGACAGGGAATTAGTTTTAAAAGACCAATATATATATATATAGAAGATAAACTTTATGACAATGAATTAGTTTTAGAAGACCAATATACATGAGGTAAACTTTATGATAGTAAATTAGTTTTCTCAGAAAGTACGCAGACACTTTAATGTTTGCAAGAAATTACATAAAGATGACTTACGAAAATAAGTTTCGAGTATTCATTTTAAGCTGTTTCTGTGAAATATTCTCTCATCTAATTAAATTAAATTCAATATTTGCGAGAGGCCTGTATAAACAGTGAATATTTTTGAAACCTCATTTAATACCAGTGATGAAACCATTCCTCATCAGTTTCACTAATAAGAGTAATTGTTAGCTATGAAGTTTATTAGTTGAATATTAATGTTGGGACCGTCGTTTTTGCAAATATATTCTTCACTTTGAAATAAAGAAATACAGAAAGCTATAGTGTATATAAGTTCATTTATATTTTAGTGTATTTTGTTTCTAAATTCTAAAGCATCAAAGAGATTATAATTTCATATAATATTAATTTTTTCCTACTTGGTTGTTTACTATAGGCATATAGCCAAGCGAGCTTTAATAAAAAGTAGACGTGTGTTTAAAAACATTCATAAACAATTCCTCAATCTAGTTCAAACCTATTATAAAAACATTAGGATATTAAAGTTGTGAAACAAATTCACACAGGATCAATAATAATAATAATACGAAAAATTTAATTCAACCCAAACTTACACATTTATTTTGCTATAGACATGCATTATACGAAGGTTAATAAGTATGTAAAAAAAATCTGTAATCATAAAACTAAAAAACAAATTGCTGTAATTTTTATTGTAGGATCATGACTGTATGTTTCAAAATTATGAAATTATTGTACAGTACTTAATGTTTAATACTCCGAATTTTATAAGATGTTTTAATTTTTGTCTTATTTTTGTGAAATTAGAATTGAATTGGCATCCTAACTTTCCTTTTCCGAATCCTTGGTATATGCACGTGTGCTCACAATAGACAAAAATTTATAAGTTCTATCTAAAGTCATGGTTAAAGTAATAAAGTGTTTATAAAACAGTGTTTATATTGAAAGCTTCATAAACTCTGTCGCGTCATATTGTTTTAATAATGAAAGGAGACAAAAACACAAAACATTAAATGATATATTACGTACCAATAAATAACAATGTAATTTAGAATGTCAAATTTAGTAGAGAAAATAGTAGTTATTAACTGTAAAATGTTTACAAATAATGACTACAGCAAAGGCTTTAATTAGTCTTTACAAATACACTGTAGAGAATTTATCCCAAATCGAAAAGTACTGCATCAATATTTCTTTTACTATATACTTTAAAAGACCTTGAAAGCCTCATAACTTTCACACAGTACTACCTAAAACATTATTTATTATATAACTATTTGGTAGGACACGCTTCAATAGGTGCTTAAAAAGCACAACAAATATATTCATTTTTTAGACTTTGCAAAAAATAAACTTAAGCAACAATGTACAAATAAATTGCTATTTATTACTACTATTTATTACTATTACTACAATTATTTGAAATGTTTAAAATATGATAATTGATAAATTAAAAAGTGTTCCAAAAATGACATCAAGCAGTCTCAACTCAACGCTGAATTTATCCAAGCTAAAACAACAAAGCTTGAACGTTTTTACCTAGCAGTATTCTTGTACATCTTGGACAGTAGTTTTTCACGTCACTATGCTTCAATTTGTTCAATTTTGAACTTATTTGAATGTATTCCTATTTCATATTTTTGTTCTAAAATTGCTTTGTCGCTATATTAAACCCGTAGTCTTTGGTAAATGCAATAATATCTTGTTGATTTGAAATTTTATTTTTCTTTATTTCTGTTTTTAATAATCATCACCAGGGTTCATGCCGGAGTTATTTATTTACATACTTTTCTTTGATGCCAATATTGCCATACGTAATAGTGAATTAATTTTAACTTTATTTGATTAATGCAACAAAACGTATATTTTATATCATTTATGACTGTATTTTATGAGATTAAGCACTTTACTATCATTAGTTTTTTATATTTGTCACAAGATTGTACACGATTTAATTTTGTCTTATTATATTATTAATTTGTATCTTCATTGCTTTTGAAAAATATTTTGCCTTACACAAACATTATTAGTTTTTGTTCCATTTATCACTTGTATTTTAATAATTCCTGAGTTGTTTTAAAGTGCATAAGAGAATTGAAATCATTGTTTACTCTTTTGTGATAATATGCATCAAATAATTTGTTCAACTGTAACATTTAAATATAACCAGAAAAAATGCGCATTGCTGTTTTCGATCACAACAGTCTTTTGTATTTTCTAACGTACACACTCATGCTAGTTTAATGGATATCATGTAACATGAAAACAAAAAATCAAACTTCTTACTTTACCAACAGAATTCAAATTCACTTTAAACGAAATTTGATTTCCTTTCCATAAAAATGTTTAGTATTTTTAGATTTATTCTTTTTAAACAATCCATACAGTATTAGATGTAGAATATTTTTGAATTAGCTTCTTTTGGAGTGGGTTTTGGTAAAAGCAGTAAAAAGTATTTCGAGATATTCTCCTTTCTGAAATTCATTGTGGTAAAGATAATAAAGTGAATATGAATTATGTATATGTTAACTTGAATATAAGTATAAGTTTAGTGTTAGATATAAGAATCAGATGTGTGTAAGATTAAAAGGTGCTTGAAGGCAATGTTAAGTGTACATAGCATATCATTTCTTACGATTCTGAAAGAAATAGGGGGCATTCGATAGACGTATAAAAATATGGTACTGGTACCATGCTGAGTCATTCTGTCATAATACACACGTTATCATCATTGCCTAACGCACGCCATCTTGCCCACTTTCACAGCTTACTCCAACAGCTGAAATATACCTTATACAAATGAATATCTTTTGGTTTAAATTCCGTGATCCAAATGCCATTTTCTAACTAATTATTGTGAAATACATCACTTACATTTTAATTCTATAAAAAAATAGATTGATTTGAAACGTTTTAAGTTATCTCCATTTTCATCTATTTCTCGCATTTTTCTTTTAAAAATGATCTAGATGCACTTAGTATCATCGATAAGACCTAATATATTGTCATCTCATTATCATCCTACTAAAATTGAGTCTGTATGCTATTGTTTATGCTCTGAGAAATAAAGAATCCACTTATTAAAGATTGTTTGAGCGAATTTGATTTATATGTAGATTTATGTTTAACTTATAAACATCTTAAGATACTGTACAGTTTTGGTTCACAGAAAAAATAACACCAAAAGTGTATGTACTCATGCAGAAACAGTTTCAGAAAAGTTAAAGAGATTACGTTCTGTATTAAACCTTCTAACACTATAATGAGTTTCAACATCAAGTCGTACCTTTCATTTCACACATCTGACATATAAAATAAAAGTAAATTCTAGAAGTATATTTACAAAGGGCGAATGTAACAAATAATTATATTACTCCTAATTACTCAGGCAGGCTTTCATGGAATTATTCAAATTTGAAGTTACATAAATCTCAGTATCAGGAAACGACTCCAAAAATAAATTATGTGTAGTTTATTCTCGCTGAACTAGTTTCAACTTGTTTCATTATGTTAACAGTCATCTCTTCGACTAAATCACAAATTCTCTTTGCTTTCCAGACAATTAAGCTCATTTACCATAACTACCTAATAACGTCTAATTCGACTAATTGCAGGTCCTATTAGTCCTATCAAGTAAATGTATCCAAATTCTATAATAAAAACTGTTTTTTTGAGAACATTATTCACACAATTTATTTTGTTTTGGAAAGTGTACAACTGTTAAACTAATTTAACAGTCAACATCCGTCAGCTTCTCTATAACTTTGCAGCTACAGTGAACAACAACATGAGTAGCTGAAGGCTATAGTTTTCACCTCAGTTTTATTATAACATCTACCTTAAGACAAGCGTATCAGCTTTTTTTTTTAGTTTCTTTGCGACTGATCTAACATGAGTAATAATACTTAATAATGATCAACACTATAGCCAAAGCAAATTTACATTTTTATACTAATTGACATGGAATTAAGATAAACCAGGTATTTGAACACTAGAAAGTTTGAAAGTGATAATAAACTACAATAAAATATAATTTATTTTGGCAAAAATACAAGGAATAACTGCGGCTTCGACAAAACCCCACAGAAAGGTCCTTGTGCTGTTAAATATTTTATGAATAATTATGTTCAAGATTCCGATTTTACAGGGTTTCCGACCCTTTTCGACAGTACTTATAACGGACTGCATGACTAAGGTTGTTGGTAGTCAAGTATATCATTGAATGTATTTTATTGTTGTTCTTGGTAATTGAGTTACAGCGACCTGTTTGTATATTAGAGTATTCTTTAGAAGGCGAATGTAAATATATTATAATGGAAGAACCTTTTCCAACGTATTTTATCTGTGATTGTAAGTTTTCTGTTGTATAAAACGAGTGTTTTTTCTGGCCTAGAGATGGCGGTACAGTAATGAACAATACGGCTACAAGTGTCGTTAGATTAACATGACGGTGAAGGTTATTTTCCATTGGTTAGTGTATATGTGTGATATTTATCAATATCTGTCATGTACTGTAAGTATATACATTTGTTTAATATGTGATAATGTTTTGTACATGAGTAACACAACACATTCGTCACATACATAAGTACAAATATACAGAAAGCACAATTTTTCAGGTAATAAACAAATATTGCCCAGATATTGAGATGAATGAGTTTGATAAATACCACATTAAATAGATTAGACCACATTCAGAGAGAAACATGATGTGTTCTGTCTTTATTTAATTTGTAAAAAACCGTAACTCTTTTAAGCGTGTACCTTTCCAGTGAAGAAAAAGAACACTACACCACACCGAGGTATGTTTGCTGTCAAACGCAAAGCTACACAATGAACGATTTTTGCTGTGTCTACTACGGGTATCGAAACCTGGTTTTTAACGTTATAAGCCTTCAGACTTACCGCTGAATTCTGGGAAGAAACATGGTACACCCGGGGTTTTTATTGTTAGTGGTTAAAGAATACGTTCAATTGGAACAAAAATGACATATCTGAGGTCATGATTACAAAAGGAAAGTGGTGTACTAATTATTTCCAATAGTTTGAGTCAGAATATGTGATTGTAATCAATTACAAGCAGACCTGCCCCATTTTATCAAAATATCTCTATTTTGCTAATTCAAATCAACGCTTCCTTTTTAGCGAAACATAAATTGCATATGTATTTATTCGAATTATTGTTTGACTACAATGGTTTCTTAATTTGTAATTTACTGTTTTTTTTTAATTCCATTCTCTAAAAAAACACATGTATACTGGTCCCTCCTGGACTAATGATTGGATCAGAGTGTTTCATTAGTTCACCTTTGTTAATGACCTACGGCTTGATAAGATCATAACTCTCTTAATTTATATTGAAAGACTATTACGGACCTACCAGAGTCAAGTATGTGGTCTTGTGAGTAAACGCAACATAAAGCCTCACACTCCTAACATAGACAAAAAAAACCTCAAGCAGTCTCTCATGCAAACATTTAGTAAAGTGTAATATTCATTTTCATCTGAGAGCTCGGAAAACAAGGATTGCAAAGTATTATCAATCTCTTGGATATATTAAAACTCCCAGAAGTCATTGACAAACACCAGCTTGTCAATGTTCTAGAGTTTCATCTAATTACCACAGAAGTCTTACTGTAGCAGTTGAGAGTTATCAGAAACCATGTTGCAAAACTTTTATCCTAGATGTATAATTAAGAGCTCAGGAAATAGAGGCCACGGGTCTACAGATCTTGCATCTATGTTAACTGCTAAGTTTTTACTAATTCTAATTGCTGTGACTTAGAGGATGTCAGGTGAACCATTTCAAGGAATATCTGCCCAAAGCCATTGTGTAGTTCAGAACATAAGAGATGTTACAGCTGGGTTCAGTCTTACCCATATCAATCTGAATATTAATGTCTAGGTTTGGCATTGCCTGATGGTTAAGGTACTCGACTTACAATCTGAGGATTGTGGGTTCGAATCGCCATCACAAAACATGCTCATCTTTTCAGCCGTGGGGCGTAATAATGTGCGGTCAATCCTGCTATTCGTTGGTTAAAGAGTAGTCCAAAGAGCTGGTGGTGAATAATGTTGACTGCCCTCCCTTTAGTATATCACTGGAGATAACCCTCATTTAGCTTTGCGCGAAATTCAAACATTATTGTCGATGCTACAGCTCAAATTATAATTAAATATTTAATTGACATATGTTTTCAAACTTTTAGAGCATGAGTCTGTCAATGCATTTTAAAGATGCTTAAATATAGAGGCAGAAACCTGAAGATTTGTTTTAAAACTTAATGTTTAGTCTGTGTAACACTCGTCACGATATGTCTGAACTTTTTTTACACATAAAAAATACGAAACCAATATACGAATTAACATTAATTCATCACCAGATTTTAT